ACCGAATAAGAACGAAGAGAGCTCGTGCTGGCATTCGGTTCATTTGAATTTAAGTATGTTGAAATAAGCTGGTGGTCTAAATTGTTCGTGAAGTTACTGTTCGTGTTCGGTTTGATTTTTTATAAATTAATTCAAAATGTTTGAAATGTTTTGAATTGTTTAAAATCTTTCTAATTTAATTGTATTGTTTAAATTGATAAAATGATAATAAATTTAATTATTGATTCTCAGATTACCAAAAATAAATAAATAATAACCCTCTATTAAATAAAATATTATTTCTTCAATTATATCATTACAAATTGTTAAAAACAAGTTACAAATGAAATATACATTTAAAGTTTCAAACTCACATTCCTAAAAAACTATAAATCATTATTCTAATCTATAGGATTTAATTTTTTTAAATATGATAAATTTTTAGAGTAAATAATTATTTTTAAAATATGATAAAATTTTTATATATAATTATTTTAAGCTATTTTATATTTCAAACAATAACAATTCTAAGATTATCAAACTCATGATTGTTCGTGTTTGGTTCGTTTATAAACTAAATGAAAAAAATTGTTCATGTTCGTCTCGTTTGTTTATCGAACGAATCAAACACAAATTCTCTACTGAGCCAAACACGAATTATTCGCAAACAACAAGCTTTTTTGACAGCTCAAATTGTAAATGCAATTTGAAAAAAAAAATTATAGTTGATCAAATGTTCTTTCAATTAATTTGAAGAAAATCATCATTTTGGTGGTTACATCGTGTTGTTCTATTGTTGATTTGGTGTTATTATGGTGATATATATGTTGTATCCTAAATATATTTTGGTGTAATAAGGGTGCTAATTTGTCAGGACATATTTGGTGATTGAAAATATTATGTAAAAAACTATAAATCAATATTCTAATTTATAAGATTTAATTTTTTAAAATATGATAAATTTTTAGAGTATATAATTATTTTTAAAATATGATAAAATTTTTATATGTAATAATTTTAAGTTATTTAATATTTAAAACAACAATGATTCGAAGATTATCAAACTCATGGTTGCTCATGTATTGTTCGTTTATAAACTAAACGAAAAAAAATTGTTCGTGTTCGTCTGGTTTGTTTATCGAACGAATCAAACACGAACTCTCTACTGAGTCGAACACGAACTGTTCACAAACAACAAACTTTTTTGACAGCACAAAATGTAAATGCAATTTGAAAAAAAAATTATCGTTGATCGGATGTTTTTTCATTTAATTTGAAGAAAATCATCATTTTGGTGGTTACAACGTGTTATTCTATTGCTGATTCAGTGTTATTATGGTGATATATATGTTGTATCCTAGATATATTTTGGAGTAATAAGGGTGCTAATTTCTCATGACATATTTAGTGATTGAAGATATTATGTCGTTGATTCGATGTTATTGAACATATCTACGTTGTAACTGTGGACATATTTTAGTGTATTTATGGTGCTAATTTGACTAGACACATTTTGTTGTTATTAGGACATTTTGATGTTATTTTGTAGTTGATTCAGTGGTATTATAGTGATATTTACGTTGTATCCTGGACATATTTTGGTACATATTTTAATGTTATTATGAACATATTTGCTGTTATTATGGACATAGTTTGGTGTTATTATGGAAGTATTTTGGTGTTATCCTCGTCTTATTTTGGTGTTATTATGAACATATTTTAGTGTTATTATGGACATATTTTGGTGTTATTATAGAGATACTTTAGTGGTATTCTGAAAAAATTTTGTTGTTATTATGAACATGTTTTGGGGTTATTATACACAAATTTCTGTGTTATTTTGCAGATATTTTGATGTTATTCTGAATAAATTTTGGTGTTATTATGGGCAAATTTTGGTCTTATTTTAGATATATTTTGGTGTTAGTCTGAACTTATTTTGGTGTTATTATGAATATATTTTGGTGTTATTATGGAAATATTTTGGTGTTATTATAGACACAATTCGATGTTATTATGGACACTTTTCGGTGTTATTATGATATCTATGGTGTATCATTGATGATATTTTTTCGAGCTATTATGGACATTTTTGTGTTATTCTATTGTTGCTATTGTGATAATGGTTAGTAATTGGTGTTGGTGTTTATTTTGCTGGTAGTTGATGTTGGGGTAGTGAAGTGGTTTGTGACGAACACCATTTGGTGTTAAAAAGATGTTTAACCATCTATAGTAAGATATGTTATTGCTTTGATTAAACATACCCTATTCAAGGAAATTGCGAACACTGAAAGATTTGCATGTGCTTCAATTTTTAGATTTATCTCCATATCTGCAACATAATGTCCTAACACTATGAATCCTGAATTGTTGGGATGTTAAATAGAGGGTATTCAGAATGGGCGAGAAGGAATTAAGGTTAGACTCCGACCAAATTGCCTTAATGATAGACATACCCAACAAAGGAGACCTAGTCCACTAGCATAAAGCTCCCTCATGTGGTGTATCTGCGATACAAATAAAAAATAACCTAGTTAAGGTTTCATCCAAAGAGTATTATATGCTCTTTGATGAACTATTTTTAAAATTTTTGTTAACAAACTTATTTTTTTCCCTCACACAATTTTAGTGTGCCCAAAGGGCTTTCCATTTTTACTAAGAATGTTGTTGACCTCATTTTGAGGTCTTCTTTACCCTTTCTTTAGATACCTTAGCATCTAGCTTTAGGATGTTTCCTATTTTGAACCTCCTAGAGGACTAAATCGACACCCACAACATTTAGAAATTCGAATCATTTCATCGCTCTTTGAAGTTTCATATGGACGGTTTTAGATCTTCATCATTCAATTGAGTCGATTAAAGCCAACATATTGAAGCTCTTGTTGAGTTCCCATTGGAATTTGGAAGACATAGGTGGACCTCATGTCGTTCGATGTGTGACTTTCTGCCGAGAGAAATTTTCCGGTGTTTGGGGCAACGGGTCAGTCGCAGTGTGGAACGATTTCTCGTAAACATGGGCGGGTTCGACCACGCGGCCCGCTTTCTCCCTTCAGCTTTTCGCTCGCCTGCCTCCGTTTTGTTTTGATTCCGCCCTAACCTCTTCCTACCTCCTTCGGCTCTTGCACAAGAAAAGTTTGATCTTCCCCCTCCCCTCCTTCCTCTTCTCTGACGCATCTCACGATTGTTGGTTTGTCATCTTGCTCCTCTGTTACTACAATATATGTGAATGCCTTCATTTATTTTTTTATTTGGTTCATTGCCTTCTTCCTTTGTGCGAATGCGAATAGCTCATTTACTGGAATATATGTGAATGGCTTGTATGACTTGGATGTAGGGTTTCGATTTAAATGTTATGATTTCTTATTTGCTTAGTTGTGTGAAAAAAAAGATTCGTTCTTAAATTGGGGATGGCAGCAATCTGATGTTGGATTTTTTTTAGTGACACCAGTTTTCTTAGCTTGATTCTGTTGGTTTTTGCATCAGAATCCAACAATAAAACAAGAATTGACATGGCTTTAAGTGGCTTTGGTTCTGTTGGTTCTATTAGTTTCTGTTGATGGCATGGTGTTATGAGTTGTTGGTTCCGTTGATTCTGTCGGTTAGCATGGTGTTAGTTGGTTTTATTGGTTCGATGTGAATGCTTGGTTCTATTGGTTCAATTGATTTTTGCAGTAGCTGGCTTTGGCTTTCAGTTGTGCATGCAGGTTGACATGGTGTTATGGGACATTGCTTGGGGTGAATGTGGCTTGGGGTGGGTTTGAAGTTATGTGGCATGGTCTTATGGGTTTAGGGTGTTATGTGGCATGGGTTGGGGTGGAAGTGGCCTGGGTATGGGGTTATGTGGCATGGCTTGAGGTGAATGTGGTCGTGGCTTGCTGTTTTGGGTGTGGCTTGAGTTTGGGGTGATGTGCCATGGTGTTATGTGGCATGGGTTGGGATGTGGACATGGCTTGTTATTCTGAGTGTAGGTCTGGGGTTATGCGGTATGGTGTTATGTGGCATGGCTTAGGGTGGCAGTGGCTTGGGGTGGATGTGGTCGTGGCTTGTTATTCTGGGTGTGGCTTGTGTTTGGGGTTATGTGGCATGGTGTTATGGGTTTAAGGTGTTGTGTGGCATCGCTTTGGGTGGATGTGGAGGTGGCTTGTTGTTCTGGGTGTGGCTTGGGGTTGGGATCGCAGATGCGGGTGGCTTGGTGTGGATGTGGCCCTGCCAATGGGGTTAGGTGGCGTAGTTTGGATGTGACCCTGCCAATGAGGTTAGGTGGCATGGTGTGGATGTGTATTGCTTGGGTTTGATGTGGTTGTGGCTTGGTTTTATGGGTGGCTGTGGTTGGGGTTATGAGATGTTCTTGTGGCTTGGGTTTTGGGTGTGGCTATTGTGTTATGTGGCATGGTGTTATGGGCGTAGTTTGGGGTGGATGTGGCAGGGGATTATGTGGCATGTTGTTATCGGTATGGCTTGATGTTATGTGGCCTGGCTTGAGGCGGATTTGGTTGAGGCTTGTTGTTTTCGGTGTGGCTTGGGGTTGGATGTAACAGAGGGTTATGTGGCATGGTGTTATAGGTGGTTGTGAGTTGGTGTTATGGGTGGCAGTGGGTTGGGGTTATGGGATGTTTTTGTGGCTTGAGGTTTTTGGTGTGGCTATTGTGTTATGTGGCATTTTATTACTTCCGACAATGCCCTCCATATAGTTCAAGTAACTTTTTAAGTGCAAATTGTGGATAAATATAAGGAGATTTCAAAGAATTTTGAGCTATACTTATTTGCAGTTGAGTTTCTTCAGAATTCAGTTCACAGAGATTTTTTTCACAACGATTGTCAAAGAAAAATGGGTGGCAAATCTACAACATTTCTATGCTCGTATAGAGAAAGCTTAATCAAGCTTACAACCCATTGGAGGTGAAGAACAAAACAACAGTAAAAACAATCTTCCGCTCCATTAAAATAAGGGTAAAAGTGGCCTCACAATAAATTTACTTAAACAAAAATCCTCAAAATAAAGCATTTCCAGTTGCACATACCTAAATTAACCACTTGCGCTTCGCTCATGATATTTCTCTTTCTTTCTCTCGTCGGATTCGTTCCCTCTAAAATATTAAGCAAACAAAAAATTAGCATATCTTGCAAAAAAGAAGCACAAGTTAGAGTCATATTTAGTTAGAATAAGGAGTGAATAAATATAGAAAAATTCTGCAATAATAAAAATAGAATAAATGGATAAAGCATTTACACTGAATAAATTTGCAAGATTACAAAGTGAAATGGCCAGTCCAACTAGTGTGGTACACTGAATAAATTTGCAAGATTATAAAGTGAAATGGCCAGTCCAACTAGTGTGGTACCACCATCAAACAATATAACAGGTTCAGTAAAGTAAGCCAAGTTTGTATATAAGAATCAATGCCCTAAGAAAATAATAATAATACCAATGAAAAAATTAAAAAAAAAATCAGTGCTTTATGAAAAACACATTCACACCTTCTATTTATTTGCCCAACAAGGCAACATTCCACCTATCTTCTAAACAATTTTTTCTGCTTAAAAAGTATTTCCGAATGTTTTACTATCAACAACCAAAAAGAGCTAAATTTTCATCTCCACGTTTAGCTTATCTAGGCTAAATGATATGGATAAGAATATAAATAATAGGAAAAATGAAAGGCGAATTTTGCTTTATTCGAACTCATTTTAAGAGACTATTTTTTTAGTTTCTTCACTGGTTGCATAAGAACTTCATAACTGGAATAACAAAGAAAAAATATAAATTACGAATAAAAGAACATAGTACGTACTCTTCTCTCCCAGTAGGGAAGGAAGCAGACGAAATCATATACTGGGTTGACAGTAGATACGAGTAAAGCATTGACTCCAAAAAAGATGAGGACCGCCGTCATAGGTCGTGCTCTGTGTGGCATACTAAGCCTGCCAAACAAAAAAAAAAAAAATATGAATAATCAAAACTATATGAATAATCAAAACAGCAAATTGAAACAAAAGAAGTTTTGATTGAGGAAAATGGGAAAAAGAGAATTTTGTACGATTGGCTACAAAAACTAGCATCATAAAAAAAAATAAGTACAACCGCGAAGTTCTGTAAGTCACAGAAAGGGCAGCATTAAAATTTAAGATGGTCTTGGCTGCTTGGATACATGGGAATAGTAAATGATTTAACACTAAATGAGCTTTTGGTTAAAAATTATGGTTATTTAGTGAATCTTCAAATTGATCGGATTTTGTTCTAAGTTAAAATATCAGAAAAACAGATACAGGTCAAAATTTACTAATCTAATCCGCAAACAAAACTAATCAACAAAATTAAAATTTAATCCATATATAATGTTCCCTTAAGCACTAGTTGGACGAATAAAATGATATTAAACTTATCATCAAACTCACCAGTTAATCCTAGTGACTTCAAAAAATACAATTACTTTATTACTTAATTATTCTTTAAAAATAAATAATTCCTAATTAATGTAATTAAACCTTAATTAAATTTATTAGCATCCTATTTACCAATTAACTTCTAATCATCTCTATTTTGCTAATATACTAAACCGCAGATTTTTTTTCAAGTGCAATTTACTAGAGGCAGATTTTATTTTTTTTATTATGCAAAAATAGTTTATTTTTTTCTCTTAATATTTATATTTCTTATTTTTTATATAAAGTGAGCTTATGCCCGACGCCTTGTGGCTTATGCCCGACGCCTTGCGGCTTACGCCTCACCCCATAACAGCTAATATGCCCCGCCTAACGCCAACGCCTTTTAAACATTGATTAAAACCATAACTATCAAGCAATTATTAATTAATGGCATAAATAATTTGTTTACCCTATTTAAGAACTTTAAAGTGATATTAATAGCCAGTTAGCCAAGCCTTATTAAACCCAAAATCTGAATTAATATGAAATTACCTAAAGGTCATCACATAATCTTTAATTAATTACAAAGTGCTTGAACAAAGTAACAAATAATTGAAATAACCTCAAATTCATCCAAATAATTATAAATCTAATTAATATATTAACTAATTAAACCCTAATTAGAGGCTAACAAATCACTTAATAATCCAATAAAAAGCTAAGTGTGCCTCTCTAATCTTCTAACACTTCAGCATTAATTAATCAAATAACCATTCCAAAATTTAACTAATTGGAAATAAATTGGTCCATTCAAACTTAATGTAATAGTTACTTAAGCTCATTATAACAGCATAACTATGAATTAATTAACAATTACTCGGGCAAATTAAATGAACATTACTCCTTAACTATCTTAAATAATTAGAATAACTAACTTGTACAAACACAGAAATATTATGAATTAAGTAGCTCTTTGCTTCCTAGATATTTATGATGATACATTATGTAATACTATTCCTAAATGTTCAACGCCCTTTAAAACATTGATTAAAACCATAAATATGAAGCAATTATTAATTAATGGAATAAATAATGTTTACCCTATTTTAAAAACTTTACAGTGATATTAATAGACAGTTAGCCAAGCCTTATTAAACCCAAAATCTGAATTAATACCAAATTAGCTAAAGTTCATAACATAATTTTAATTAATTACAAAGTGCTTGAACAAAGTAGCAAATAATTGAAATAACCTCAAATTTATCCAAAAAATTATAAATCTAATTAATCTATTAACTAATTAAACCCTAATTTGAGGCTAACAAATCACGTAATAATCCAATAAAATGCTAAGTGTCCCTCTCTAATCTTCTAACACTTCAGCATTAATTAACCAAATAACCATTCCTAAATTTGACTAATTGGAAATAAATTGGTCCATTCAAACTTAATGTAATAGTTACTTAGCTCATTATAACAGCATATCTATGAATTAATTAACAATTACTCGGGCAAAATAAATGAACATTACTCCTTAACTATCTTAAATAATTAGAATAACTAACTTACACACACAGAAATATTATGAATTGAGTAGCTCTTTGATTCCTAGATATTTATGATGATACATTATGTAATACTATTCCTAAATGTTCAGTGAAGATCGGATTATGTGGCTTCCTTCTAACTCTTAATTGAGTGACATCAAAACTAGCGCCATACTTTCATACAATTACCCACAATATTCATTTTATATCTTCTATTCCCTTCTCTCAGTGCCTCATTGCACTACATACTCTCCCTCTCTTTATTAAGCAGTCTTTCAGTGATTTTCAATTGATGATCTAAATCATCACTCTCATCAAACTTCAACCCAATCTCTTCAATGACATAGCTTTTTCATCCAAAGAGACTATCCAATCATTTATTTGGTCAACCAAGACTTTGGTCAATTCCGTGCAAGCAATAATTATTGGACAAATTGGCTAATGTGCTAAATTAATTTAGGTTTAGTTTTTCCCTTTAATTATGCTTAATTGATCATAAAAGATCATTAATTAGCTAATCAAGGCATCATTTGATACAATTGTTACCATCTAAAAAGTCTGATGAGAAGTTATTGTTTGAAGTTGTTTGATGTTGTTGATCTATTAAATACAACTAACAATTGGTTGTCATGCATAACTCGAAAGCTAATTCCATTTTTTTGATCGAATTGTTTTAAATGTATTATGAAAAGACGAAAGGACTAAATGTGTCCACAAAAGAAACCTAAAATTATGGCGAATAATTCGAAAAATCAAATTCTAAAAATAAATAAGCATCATATTAATACATTAATTCTTCTTCTTTCAACTTGAAATTATAATCATAGGAAAAAAAGTGAAACAAGACCATATTCAACTTACGCTCCATGCAGAATTAACAGACGGCCTCTTTTGGTTCCATGTACAAACCTAGCAATAAGGGCGATCCCTCATCCAATTAGCCTAGCCTACAACATAAATTATAGCCTAATACCTTACCCTAGCGAGCACTATGGAACTCTTTGATGAGGCTTTACACAGCTTCCGAGTCACAATTCTTCTTCAATTGTGGATCTAAAGAAAGACACAATAACCTGAGGGTATTTAGAACTTTAAACTAAACCCATATCAACAGAGTCAAATATTTGTGAAATGAAAAGATCTATTGATTGGTTTTCGCATGAAGACAGCATTTTAGAGCTTAAAAACATTATTTTGAATTATAGGTAACCTAAACATGAATGATAATCCAACATTGGTGCTACGCAAAGAAAGTGTTGCACCTTAACTAAGCTTTAGGTAATTTTGAGCTTCATCAAACAAGAAAAGGCTGGCTTACTTATGTTATGGCTTGACAAATTACCAAATTATTTATTTTTCTAATTAGTTTCAAACTATTTTTCCGATTTCTGAACTTAAAATGAACTTTACTTTAAAAATGGACACCTATGGAAGTGGATCATCGTTGAAACCCATGCAATTTGTTCAGGACAAGAATAAATTTTTTGCTGCTTGGGTGCATGTCGGCAGCAGCCCACATAATCACTCAGTGTTCATCTTCAAAAAACACACGTCTTATTACCCTTGAAGTTAGTGGGAAACCACAACAAAGATCCCCACTGCCACTAAAAAAATACCAATAACCCAGATAAAAAGGGTTCATTGCCATGTCAGTAATCTTGAATTCAGCTATCGTAACCAACAATAGTTAGAGCAATGACTAAAGTAAACATGGCGCGTCCCAATCCTCGTGATTACATTGGAGGCATATTATTAGTCAGCAAGAATCCTTAATTTATTAATACATTATCATGCAAAATTACCAGGTCATTTGTGGTAACATTGTATGGTTTAAATGAATGGGATCTCAAAACTGTAAAAAAATACATAAAAAGGCAGAATGAAAAAAGTATAAAGAAAATTGTTGTGAAAACATTAAAGGACAAATATGAAACTCTTCATAAAAGTCCTGTCCTTCGGGATGTTGCTTGATAAAATTAATGATGTACATCGGTCAAAAAAATTATAGAAGTGCACTTAGTGACCTAAATTTGTTGAAAATGGATCTAATAACATAAAGCGGGAGCTCAAGTGGTACAAAGTTACTAAAGATCACCTTATGTATGAAATCAATAAATTTATCTCCTAGAATAGAGTGGTCAAATGTCCGAAATGGACAACTAATGAAAACACTAGATTTGATTCGAAGAGATGGAAAGCTCCTACCTCATACTTAGGCCCCGTTTGGGACAGCTTAAATGTGCGGCGGCGTTTTTGAAAACGCCGCCGCAGCGGTTGGAAATAACGTTTC